TAACTTAAGCTTCTTCCCTTTTTATTGTATTGGACTGTGGTCCATTTTTTATGGTGGTTTGTGTGTAGGGCTGCAAAAGCGTGATAAGTTGATATGGAAAAGCCAGCTTGTGATTTTTGTACATAGTGTAGAAAAATCGTATTAACCAGTTGATCCTTTTCTTTCTTCCATCTTTGCTCCAGATGTTGAAAGAGCCGTAGTTTCCACCGTCTCTTTAATGTTTCCTTCCTGCAACATGACACAAGATCACTTGAGGATGTGCAAAATTGTCCCTAATGTTGAGTCATTACAGCAAAGAAAATTTCCCAAAGCTCTTGAGCATTTATGTAAAAATGATGACTTCATCTTGTTTGCGTTGATGCTCGTGTGTCTGATTTTTGGGTTTAGCCCAGCAGGACCCTCCTCCATGATGTACCACTGCTCCACTTTGTAACAATTACAGGATCTACGTCACGGCCATCAAAGCTCACCCCATTCTTCGTGTTTCCATCCACAGTAAGAGGTTCATAGTGTTGAATTGTTTTCCATCTTCCACCACTGTTATTTCAGCCCAGTGGATCGGGCCTCTTTCGTACCTTTTCATCAGCTTTTGCTGCAGAACTTTAAGGAAAGCAACAAACGAGCATCACGCTACTGTACATCTTTGAACATAATTAGAGGCTTGAGGAAGAGGAGTTAAAACACTGCTGAAATCATCCCAGTAAATTTAGAACGCAAAGCTGTTCCGCTGTCTGGCTTATCGTAATTAAATTAATTTTAGGAAAGTTGAAGTGAGCAGGCTTTGCGCTGACTGTGAAGTTTCCAGTAGTTTTTATTTGGCAAATAATTTACATTGAGTTCAGCATTTTGTCAGTAAATGAGCTAACTAAAAAAACATTTGGTTACGATGCTATTTAAACAGGGATTGCTGTCACAGTATTTGGAGGCCTAATTGTGGATCATTTCTTTATATAATTTAATTTTGACCTTGTTTTTTTATATAATATTTATGTCTTCGTTTTGCTTTAAGTTTATAACCTGACGGTTATTAACATGCCATCACTTCTGTCAAAAATAAAAGCCGCAAAGAAGATAATTGTGGAGGCAATACTTTTAGTTGATAGCTGAGTTTTACAGCTGGTTGTGATTCACGTTTATAGAAACGTGTGGGGAAAAAAAATAGGTGAATGGAAATGATAAAACATTTGGGGAACTTCTGCTTATATTTTTAAAGTTCTGTAAGTTTATAGGGTAGCGTTTTTCCAGTCTTTGACCTGACAAAGATGACAAAAAATAACGTGGCCCAGCAGCTACTAGCCATCATTCAATAAATTTAAATTGACTGATTCGTGGTTTTCTAGCTATAAAACAAAATACTTGATTTCTCCATAAATAAACCATTTCCTGAACATCTCTCTCCATTTTTCTTTTATGGATGTTTACTGTAGATTTTTGTTTGTCTCTTATGGGACACATGCTTCTTCAACAAGCAATTAATGTTATAACAACCAAATGTTTGCTTTCATTTAATTTTTTTGCACGTTTGTTCCTTTACTCACTATAGGATGGAACTAATAAAGATATATATTTTCAATTTGATCACTTATTCGACTATTCAGTTCTACATTTCACAATAAACATAATGATTTTATTTTTAAAACCTGCAGATAAACCTGTGAACATCGGGGCTCATCTGTTTTAGAAAATATGCTTTTCATGTCACGTTTTTGTCTGTGAGGTTCGGTGCAAGCAAGGAAAGACGAACCTGTTTAACCACTCCACTTCTGCTTTTACAGTGTAAACAGCACACACAGGTTTTATAGGAGGCACTGTGTTTTTGTTGTAGTGATACAGGATCACTGCTGAAGACTGAGTTTTTTGCAGATTATAGACACACCTATAAAATCTTTTATTGGTGCTTGAAGTCTGAGGGGAGAGAGCGCAATAAAAATCCAAGACTTTGTTAATTTCTCTTCTTCACGTTGGTTGATTTGTTTGCAATGTGAGAATTTTTATTATCATCTGTAGAAATAACCATTTTACGTGGATGTCTACGCCATTGTGTGGCACTTTTAGCAGTTCTGTTTTATCACAGTTTTTATTTTCGCATTAAAGGTGTAAGAATCCAAATAAGACTGAATAAAAAATATGTGGAAAGCATACATTAGATTTTTCCTTTTGTCTGTCTGGCATACACATCAGCATCCTTTTGCATGCCCTCTGTCCTCCTAAAGAGTGGAAGGACCAGAAAATGTCCCCACTGATGATGGATTGGCTTCTTTAACTGATGTGGGTTGCTTTTTTAAATTTTAATTCCTTTTTTAGGGGCTGTAGACATTTTATTTATCATGCATTTGTTTTTATTGAGCGTCACCCCAACACCCAAACACATAACCCAAGATTTCCTAGTTCCCCAATTCATATTTAATGTGGTTAAGCCTCTGGTAATTATATTGTTGTTTTTTTTAAATTGTTGTACTGGTATTTTTTTTTCTTTCCAAATTGACTTTGTTTCAGTCCTAACGGTGTTTTAGTCATTGACAATTAGGATGTCCACTCGTAAGAAGAAAGAGCCTTTTTAAGTTTTGCACGTGTTAAAAATTCTCTGTAGAATGATGGACTCTAAATTTGTTTTGAAATAACTTTTTATAACTAATTTCAGAATGATGAGAATCAACTATTACTACTCTAAGATTACCCCCTGATGTCCGTCCTTTCTGGAATTGTATGAACTTACACCTGATTTAAGAGTTAATTATTTAGCACCTGCTTACTACAAAGTGTCAGGGCATAAAGATAATGGAGACAGGACGACAAAGCTTTGTTTATGTTTAAAAATTATTACAAACAAGTGTGAAGTAGAATATCTTCAGAATTTGTCTAACCCAGAGGTCTGCAACCTTTACGATCAAAAAAAGCCATTTCTGACCCTTTGTTCACTAAATTAAACGTGTCCGGAGCAACAATACCTGCTGCAACTGGGATTCTCAACTGGTGGCCCACTTTGTTGGAGGGCACTTTTCTGGACAGGGGTGATTTTATAAAACTAAAAATATCTAATGATTTTTAACATTTATTGATATTTTTATATTCTAAGACAAAATAAAAGATGAGATTCTTGTAAAGAAGGAAAAAATAATGTAATTTTTGCCCAGTTTCTATAAACAAACAATAAACTATGCATTCTTATGTGATTTTTTTAATTATATTTTTTTATTGTAGAAAAATTACATATCGTACTTTGAAGAAATATAAAGTAAAGTGAAAGTATGTTTTACTCCTTGTAATGTTTCTAGTATTCATATATTTTCAAAATAAATTACAGGAAATCTGCTAAAACTAGCCCTTTTAGTTGTTGTTGTAATGACCAATAAAATTCAGTTTTATGTCGGTTTTGGTCAAAGCTTGAAAGAGCCGCTGCAGAGGAACCAAAGAGCCGCATGTGGCTCCAGAGCCGCAGGTTGCAGACCCCTGGTCTAACCTATCCGTGTCTTTTTGAACAAAGGACTTCAGCGACAGATAATGTCATGACCACCACCAGTCCCATTATAATGAAAAGACCAAATCATTTAAAGAGACAACAGACTGTCAACTATGTTTCCTCCTAATGAGGACATCCCAGAACACCTATCAGACCTGTCACAACACTTAGATTTTTAATTTTGATGTGGACGTGGTCAGCACTTATTCTGCCATTTTTCTTAAATGCTGCTAAATAGATATAACCTACCAGATGTTGTTGCTTTAGTGAGCCAAAACTAGTGGGAGACAACGATACTGCTTTGCCCTCTAGGTTTGTGCATAGGATCTAATTTATGTTCATATGATGGTTTTGAGAAGTCCTATCATCACTCTGTTCAGGGTGAAGGCTTAGGAAGACTGTCAAATTCAAGTTTGTCCATAATCTAATAAGTTTAATAACGTTAACAGAGGTGCATACATTTAAAAATCTCAATGTGAAAGTTGTACCAACCAAACTAAATTGTAGAGTGAAAGCCTATATTTTCTATGGCTCCACGCTTTTGTTCCATGTGCTAAAACCAGCTGTTTAACCAGTTTGTTGCTCAGCAGTCAAGTAGCATCAGTTAAAATGGCTGGTTGTATCATCTGTAAATGTGTTAGCTTTTTTTTTTCTCTCCTCTGCTTGTGATCCAGACTTGGATTGGAAATGCTCCAGAGTCAGCTCTGTGAAGCAACGACCCAAGTTTTCAGTCTGGCAGGGCCCCTCCTCTTCCCTTATCCTCTGTCAGCACTTTTCACAAGCTCAACCTTCAGGCTCATATTTCAAGATTAGAAGGAAATGGTTACGTTTTAGTGGTTTCTTAAAAAGTTAGTTAATTGAAATTAATTTTATTACTAAATGAGACAAGCTTTTTTCCTCTAACCGTTGTTTCACTGAGTTGATGGTAATGCAGTCCACCTTCACTTAACGTTTAATCTATTAAATTTGTAAGATTTTGTGGGTAAAGCCTGAGTGGAAAAGAGTGACTTGTGCCATTTGTCATTCATTCATTTTCTTCTTCCCACCCAATTGACTGCTCATTTATGTGTATTGTTTTTTTTCTCATTTAGTGTTCAAATTTTTTTACATTCTGTTCATATTTACAGTTTAGCGGGGATCGCTCGGTGTTTCAACATTTTAGTCAGCTGTTGTTGAAGTTAGGTTGCTTTTTTTGTGTGTGTGAAACTTTGCAGTTTTGCAAAGGAAGCAGAGATTATTTTAGTGTCTGAGCTGAGATGAGTCATGTGTTTATTTTTCTTCTCATGAGGTTCTGAAGCTTTTAAATTGTTGATCCTGCAGAGGACCCATCTGTGCCTCTTGTCACGTTCTAAAGGGCAGGATTCTTGCTCTGAGGCCTGAAGGAGAACGATAGCTCTAAGTTTGGCTGCCTCCAGTTATTTATGTCTGTACACACATTTATGTGTTTTTCTGTGTTGTACATGCAGTTAACCCCATGTAAAACCGATGCAGTTTTAACAGGTGTCCAACTTCAAACCTTTTGTGATTTTTCTCCCCATAGAGCCACCATAGAGGAAGTTGAAGGGGAAGTGTGTGAGTTGGAGTCCAAGCTCGACAAAGTGAGTACCACCCATGAGAAACATTTCTTACCACCCATGAGAAACATTTCTTAAGTGCTCAGTCTGTTCCACAGTGTGAACTGGTGGCTGCAAATGATTTTCTTTGAGTGGGAAGGTGTAGGATTGTTCGTGCCCTCATCCTCACTGTATTCTGTAGCAAACTGTCTTTTTGAAAATAGATATAGACATTGCTCGTCTTAAATATGTACAAGTTTTTTTAATGCTTTTAACATGGATGAACAAACTCAGATCACACTGTAATGCAATCACACAGTTAAGTTGCATAATTCTGCTAACTCTTGACTGGATGATTCAGATAAACCAGTGGTTTGAACAGATTATATATTTTTTTCTTGTCAGTAAGCTCTGTCTGTGCCAATGTTAATAATTTATTTGTGAACACGTTTTTATCATTTCAACAAATACATTTTGGGAATCAAAAAGTTTTTAAACGGTTGGAAAAAAAATCTAGAAAAACAAGGTATCTATTATGATCTCGACCAATTGTATAGAAATCTGGTGCCATAATTCATTATTTATGTATCCATATCTTAAATTTATTAATGCTAAAGTATGCTGATATTAAACAGGAGAAACTGCAGCTAGTGTTGAAACATTTACCAATTTATGATTTCAAACCCAAATAACATCTCCTACATAACAATTAATTTAGCTTAAGATTTAAAATAATAACATCCATCCATTAATTATCTTTTACCCGCTTCTTCCTTTTTGGGTTGCGGGGGTCACTGGTGCTCATGTCCAGCTATCACTGTGCAAGAGGCGGGGGACACCCTGGACAGGTCTCCAGTCCATCACAGGGACACATAGAGACAGACAACCATTCACTCTCTCACTCACACCTAGGGACAATTTAGAGTTACCAATCAGCCTAACATGCATGTTTTTGGTCTGTGGGAGGAAACCAGAGTACCCAGAGAAAACCCATGCATGCACGGAGAGAACATGCAAACTCCACCTAGAAAGGACGGTCCCCGGACCGGGATTTGAACCAGGGTAACCTGCTCACTGTGAGGCAGCAGCTCTACCAGTTGTGCCACCGTGCTGCAAAATAACAGTATAAGGTTAATTTTTTTAACTTGCATCTTTTTTCCCCCACTCCTCTTTGGGTTAGCATTCTCCTGCAGTTTGTATTCTTAATACTGTTAATCATTACAAATGAAGCCTTTTGTACTTTTATATGGTTTGTTTTGCTTCAACTGTGTCCTGCTTTAAATTCATTACTTATACTGTATATCTGTGTCTGTACACCAATTAACTGATTTAAACAAACAAAAAAAAAAAACTAAATTTCTTATTAAAAATACACATTTCCATAAACTATTTGCAGATAACGTTATGATTTGTAGTGAGAGTAGGAGCAGGTGAAAAAGCCTGGAGAGGTTGAGGTCTGTTTTGGAAAGAAGATGAATGAATGTCAATATGAGCAAGACAGAATATGTGTGTGAACGGCACAGAGTAAAGTGTAAAAGTGGATGTATAGTCAGTGAGAAGTCCCATTCTCGTCTTGCTGGCATGGGTGCGTGACGGAAATTGCGTAGTTTTCCCACCCAGTGACACCCCGTCTTGTACATTTCTCCCAGTCAGAACGAGTTCTCACCATGTTTTGTAGTGAACATTGTGTGATTGGTCAGAACTTTGTGGGCATGTTTGTTTATGTAACATGGCTGCTGTCTGAAAGCAGAAACTGCTGAGAATCTGCTGGCCGGGGCTGTTAGATAATAACAGCCAACATTACAGCTGTTCAAACGATGGCCAAGAATAGACAAAATTGTTAGGAAGATTGTCAAAGAATTTTTGAAAGGACATTGGACAATTTTGTGCATGCATGAGAAAGCACAGAGCCCCGTCTGTTGGAAACTATGGCAATCTCTTTGTGATAAATTTACATAATAGTGATTTCTACCTTGTGGTTTCACTTTTGAGCATGAAATGTCCTTGAGATAAAAAAAAACCCCATTTGCTATAGTCAGTGAGATCTGACACCTTACATATTTTTGAAGTATAACCATGAGTTAACAGGGAAGCTGCAAGTTGTAGAGGTTTTAAAGGTGAATGAGCTCAAATATCTGGAGTCAGTCATCCAAAGAAACATGCCGTCAACTAGAGAGGTGAAGAAGAGACCGTAGATAAGGTGGTGTGGAAAGAGATGCAGATAGTGGTCGTTTTGTGACAGGATATCTGCAAGAGTAAAAGGGAAGACGACAAAGTCCATGCTCAAAAAGGGAAGGTTTATTAGATGGTAGTAAGACCTGTAATATTTGTGGTTTAGAGATGGTGGCACTAACAAATAGACAGGAGGTGGAGCTGAAGGTGGCAGAGATGAATATGATTTTTATAGGAGTGACTAAAATTTAAAGGATTAGTGAGGAGTATTCAGGTTGAAATGTTTGGAGACAAAGTTAGAGAAGCCAGGCTGAGATAGTTAGGACATGTGCAGAGAAGAGATAATGAATATAATGGACAAAGGTTATTAAAGCTGCCAGAGGGGAGGAAAAGAGGAAGACCTAAGATAAGCTTTGTGGATGTAGTGAAGGAGGATATGCAGAAGGTTACTGTGACAGAGGAGGATGTTGCTGATTGGAGATGAAGGCATATGCAGATTTGTCACACAGGTGATGTTAAAAATTCGAAACATCTTGTTTTCTTTTTATGTGGCAACTACTTTTGCTCATTATTTCTCAGTATCCGAAGTACTTTCTCAGCACCTTTCACAATATGTTTACTGAAGCCGAGCATTGCTTTTTTTTGACTAACTCAAGCTGCAGTTAGGTTTAGGTTTATTTGTCATTATGCAGATCAACACAAGGTCAACAATGCAATGAAATGCTCAGGACGAGAAGAACCGTATCGACTCACCAAGAAAACAAGAGATACCAGAGCATACAACAAAAATACAAAAACAAGACACCATAAGTAAAAAAATATATTAAAAAAAAGAAATACTGGTACATCTACAGCAGCATGGTCCTAGCAGAGTGGCTCTGTTGGCAGTAGGGGTTGAATGACTACATATTTTTTAAAGTCGACATTAACGTGATAATAGTTGTCAACGTTGATTAGTTGATGACGTCATAGGAACTCGAAGACGCAAGAAAAACCCAAGTCTTTTGCCACCGTGGCGGTGGTGGATTCTCCACCTGTGGCGATGCACACCCCTGTTTTTATTTTAATTTTATTTTTAGTGGATTAAATAAAGCAGCACGGTGGCACAACTGGTAGAGCTGCTGCCTCTCAGCGAGCAGGTCCTTGGTTCAAACCCCGGTCCAGGGGCCTTTCTGGGTGGAGTTTGCATGTTCTCTCTGTGCATGCGTGGGTTTTCTCCGGGTACTCCGGTTTCCTCCCACAGACCAAAAACATGCATGTTAGGCTGATTGGTAACTCTAAATTGTCCCTAGGTGTGAATGAGAGAGTGAATGGTTGTTTGTCTCGTTTGTCTCTATGTGGCCCTGTGATGGACTTGCGACCCGTCCAGGATGTACCCCACCCCTCGCACAGTGATTGCTGGACATGGGCACCAGCGACCCCCGTAACCCAAAATGGAATAAGCGGGTAAAGATAATGGATGGATGGATGGATGGATTAAATAAAATAAAAACTATCCACCACCGCAGGTGGTGGATTCTCCGGTGGAATGCACCCGTTTTTATTTTATTTAGTGGGTCAAATAAAATTAAACTAATAACATGAGGTGGGCAGTGGTGGGATCCCACCATGGATTAAATAAAATAAAACTATAAACAACATCGTCTTTAGTGAAATACTTCCACACTGTTGATGAATTTCTACCTGTTTGGGAAGACTTTACCTGCTCCTCGCCTTCCATCTGCTTGAAAGAATCTGTTTTGTAGCCAACGGCCCAGCACTGATTATGTGACACAATCACCGACTGTGACTAGTCTACTTGAAATTTAAAAACTCGCAAGATGTCTTAGAGTCGACTAGTATATTCAGCCCCTAGTTGGCAGTGAGGTTCTCTTAGCAACATGATCCCGTTAGCAGTGTGGTTCTATTAGCAGCGTAGTCCTGTTAGCAGTGTGGTTCTGTTAGCAGCGTAGT